CAATTTTTTGAAAATTTTTTTTATTACTAATTAAACAAAATTTATTTTAACGTTAGAAAAAGTAACAAAACCAAACGATAATTGCAAAATTAAAAAAAAAATAAAAAATGATTTTTTACACAAATGCTGAAATGTTCGAATTGCGTTACCTTTACGGTTTGGAGAATTTAGCAAAGACAACTTTTGAATCATTTTTTATTTGCAATTATGGTTTGGTTTTGTTACTTGTTCTAACGTTAAAATAAATTTTGTTTAATTAGTAAAAAAAAATATTTTGACCATGTTTTTAAACATAAAAGTTGATTTTTCTCGAAAACGTTCAACTCTAGAGCTTATGACCAAGAGTACCTTTTTTGTGTAGAAAATATTGGCGGTTCGAATAGGCCTCTCAAAACCGTACATTTTTCAGGGGCGTAGAAGTTGAGGAGAAAAACACCCGCTACCCCTTCAAAATTTCCACCAATTATGAGAAAAAAAATTTTTTTTGTACGATAAACGGTTCCGGAGATATTCAAAAAAGACGAATTTTTTTCTAAAATTTCAACACCCTGTATCTCGAAAATTGTGCATTTTAAAGCGTAAGTTAATAGCGACTTTTTTCATCTTTTTGGATGAGTTATCACATCCTGAAGTCCTGCGCATATATTATGAAACACCCTGTATATTTTTGTTTATATAATATTTTATAATATAATATATATAATATATACAATATAATATACTCCCAGTCTAGTAGGTACATAATATTTTAATATTATAAGCAAAGAAAGTTTATCTTGTGAATAAATATGTTAAACTATTAAAGCTCTTTATATTTTTTCTCGACTATGGACTAAAATGTCTAACAAACTTAAACAACGGTTTATGTAAAGTTTATACTTCAAAATGTGTCATTTATATAGTTTATATAGTTTACAACTAAACATAATAGCATTTTGATAAACGAGGTTAAAAGATTAAAAATTTGTTTGTTCTTCAGGTTTAAATAGCCTTTAGCTTACTTAAAAACTAATTGGCCATAACATATTTCTGTATATTTATATATTTTCAATAAATACCAGTGTATGTCTATCCTTGAAATCCAATCTTGTCCCTCATGGGTCATAAAGTCACTTATATTTAACCGACTATTTCATAGAGCATGCGCACACCACAAGATACAAATCCCGAATCCCCACAGATTGATTTAAAAACATATTTATCATACAAATTTACATTTAGAAATGTAGCTTAAGCTCTTGTGGAATTTTTAAAACATTCTTTCAAGCATAAAAAATTGCATACTTGCCTACCAAAAGATATCAATGTTTTCTGCGCAAACATTTAAAAACGCGGACAAGCCAAGAAATATATGAACCCTAATGTGGAGGCATTGGGTGAGCAAGGAACGTAAGCATTTGTATTTTATGACTTGTTCGGTTCAAGTGCCTAAACGTGTCGGTTATTTTTCGAGGCTTTCGCATATTTCGAGGAATATTGGAAGCCAGTAGGTACACAGTAAGAATTCAAATTCGATCCCTTTATTGTTATATCCTCAGCCATCCGCACCTTATTCCTCCTTATGGCTTTATTTGAAATGCCCCGGCATGCCAGGAGGAATTTAGGGAGCGATGACCCGCTTTTAAAATAAAGGACATAAAACTGCATGGGATCGAATATCTCTCTCTGCTCTTGTTTGTGTACTTTATTTTGGATTTAAAAATTTACACATCATTCTTTTTTTATATAAAGACTTTAAGGAACTTTATACGATAAGTTTTTATCTTTTCTAGGTTCTATGTAAATATCTTTTGTACACAATTTTTATAATGATATTATATATCAGAAATTAATAAAATGAATTGATTTGAACTTTTTTGTCAAATAGTCTTTTATGGCACTTATGAACGTTTTAGACAAGTACTGTTCAGTATCCTCAGTTGAAATGGGTCGTATTTTTACCTTTCAATGAACAATTTGGAAATGTATATTATTGCATTTTCAAAAAATAAAATTTATTTTTTTGTTCGGTCTTACCCTCTCAAATGTTTCTATTTAATATAAAAAAAATCCTCACCAAATATGGGCGTTCCAGCTCAACTTTAAGAGGTCGCTGTTTTTATTTTAGTTTCCCATTTAATGAACATGGGAAAAATAATTTTATGTTTGGAATTTTATACCTCTGTATCAAGTTTATTATATAAAATGTAACGCTGTACAAAAAAGGTCTCTTATTATTTTTCGATAAATTGATTTCTTCTAGAGTTATTCGAGGTCAAAGTTTGATTAACGTCAAATTTTCAGACTTTTTTAATTTTATGGTTCAAGTTCACGCTTTTAATCGAAAATAAATATTCTGAGCCTGTAGAGCGAGAAAAAGAATGGAAAACTTGTCATATGCTCATTTTTTGGGTACCCCATTTTGCCCCCCCCCCCGCTGCCTTGTTTTGCCCCATTTCACCTCCTGTCTGCTTATTGTAACATACAATTAAAAAAACCAGAAAATTTGATGTTAATCAAACTTTGACCTCGAATAACTCTAGAAGAAATCAATTTATCGAAAAATAATAAGAGAACTTTTTTGTAGAGCATTACATTTTATATAAGAAACTGCAAACATAATTTTTTTCCTATGTTAGTTAAATGGGAAACTAAAATAAAAACAGCGACCTCTTAGAGTTGAGCTGGAACGCCCATATATGGTGAGAATTTTTTTTATATTAAATAGAAAAATTTGAGAGGGTAAGAGCGAAAAAAAAATTAAATTTTATTTTTTGAAGCACCCTAATGTATATAGTAAAAAAATTCATTTAGAAGGTTAACCATGTTTGTTGTTTGCATACAGTTTTTTTTTCTGAATGTAAAATATCAACAGGTGATAAGTAAAACAAAAAAAATCTGTAAAAATAGCCAAAATATGCAAATGATTTTTTAAATGTTATCATTAGAAACCGTGTTATATGCAAATACATGTATGCATATGTGCATAATATATTATATATATATATATTATATATGCATAATCATGCATAAATATTATTTTGTTTTAGATATAGTCATGACATTGTGGCCAAAATGTCTGTTTATACCTTGGATCAATGTTTGCGTACTATTGAAACAAATGAAAACTATTTTTAAATGTGAATATGACAGCTTTTTAAATTCAAATGCTTATAAGCATTATTATAATAAAAAAAGCATTTGAAAAAAAACGTATTTATAAATATAAAAAGTTACAGGCTGGATTTTTTACATTTATCTCAATAAAGATTTTAGAGGGGTGTTTAATATGAAACTACCCTGAACAATTTTTAACCGCTCAGGCACAGGCTGTGGCTCAAGTCTGAGGTTCTTTTGGCTTATATTTTTTATAATTTTATCAAATCTTCTTGGGTTTTATTTCTAAGGTATTTACAGTTATTCATTAAACACAATAAATTCTAGAAATACTATTTTACCATAATAAATGTACGTCTAAGAAAAACAAAATTTAAGCATGAGAAAACACTTAAGTTAAATTTATTCTAAAATCTCTATGTATTACATTAACTAAAACGTACCGTGTGTAGATCGGTCTTGATAAGAGTATCAGAGCTTGGTCTCAGGGGCGCTACACCTGACGCCCCCCTGGGGCAAAATTATGCGATAGACGCATCTAGTTTAATAACGGGTTAAGATACCATATAATAACCGGCTGCAATGGCGATAGGAACATGCCAATTTCGTTCTCCAACATTATATCCTACTATAATAGTTATAATTAGGGTCTTCGTACACCGTACGTATTTTGTCCGGTTTTTAATTTAATTTTTTATTTCACGTCAAAAAGGGACGTGTTTTTTAATTATTAATTGCGGCTTCGCCACAATTTATACCTTCATAAATTTCTATAGAATAATGCGGTTTTCGTATGATATAATAATAAATTAAATAATAAATAATAGTGCATGCAACCCAGTTTCGACAGTTTCTAGGTAATCACAAGCGAGCAAAAAATTTCGAAATATCATGTCACAGCACATACAGTTTTTTGTTTTGTGTGCATTTCGAAGTATAATATTTCATAAAAATGCTACACGTTATAATAATGTATTTATTTTTTTAATTGAAAATTATTACGTAATCTACCTATATCTAATAGAAACAATAACACCCTGTATATATATATATATATATAATTTTATATTAAGGGTTCACAAAATATTACAAGAACACTTTACAAGGAAATATTGCAAGAATGAGGGGTAAGAGTAAATACAGGGTGGCCGAAAATAACGTTAATATATTTCGTGGGGTGATTCTACACGTAAAAAATAAAAGAAAAAGTTTCTTAGCGTTAAAATAAGTTATTTTAATTTTTAATAAGGGTTGGCACCATGTAACAAGGGCACCTTTTTTACGTATAATATTCTGGCTAATTGTGTTCCAAGATCAAGAATTAAAAAAAAAATCTCAAAAAAAAATAAGAATTTTTTTCCGAGTAGCCCCTGTTTCGCACGCTTATGGTCTTCATTTATCCAATTTGACACCAGATGATTTCTTGTAAGAAAATACCCCAGAAATAAAGCATCATTATTTTTGCACTAACCTTTTTTTAAATAAAGTTACCAAATGCAAATAACTGAAGATATTTTAAAAATACCCCAAAATAAAGTATCATTATTTTTGCACTAACCTGTTTTTTAATAAAGTTACCAAATGCAAAAACTGAAGATATTTTAAAAACTTTGTAAAAGGTAATTTAAAGATCCCATGATAATTTGCGATAAGTTTGATGGTTAGTACGGATAGTACGGAAAAAGTTTGAAAATCTTGAAATTTACTGTAAATTCAATTTAACCTTGAATTACTTCTGAACAATATTTTTGATATACCTACTTTTTGAAGAAAAATAGTCGATTTTTTTTAAACAGTTCAATAAATATTTATATTTTTGCAGTCTCCTAAGTTCTGCATAACTAATAAAAATCAAAATCACTTAATAATTAAGTTACCTACTAAAATAAAAGAAATTGACCTACCTTAAGCGCTATTTCTATGATTTATCCTATTTCTATTCTAATGCACACACTAAAACCTAACTTCCAAATCACTGTATACGTTGGAAATATCAAAAAATAAATTTTGTTATGTAAAATATTATCTTTTATTTGTTATACTTAATGAAACATTTCATCTAGATATTTATTATTGGTAAACAAACAAATACATAACAAATGCATTGACGTTATCTAAACAGAGTAGTATTAAAAAAAAATGTTACGATTTTTATGTGTTCAGGGTTCATGTTTTAGTGCCCCAAATTAAGGCGTATATATATATATATATATATATATATTTCAGTCGACTACCCAGTCTTGCTTTCATCAGTTATGTAACTTACAGTAATTGAAAAGAAGTATACTCGAGTAATTTGATATATTAGAAAATTTAAGTTAATTTTCTTAAAAAGCCGTATATATTAAATTTCGTAAATAGCAGATTTTATACTTGTATAAAAAAACCACAATATAGGTAGTTTTCCGCATATGCTTTTAGATTTTACTTATAAGTAAAATCTAAAAGCATATGCATAATGCGTACTCTAAATATACTTATAAGTTATAGTTAGAAGCATAAAATATATTATAGTATACCTATAGGTATACCTATAGGTATACTATAATATATTTTATGCTTCTAACTATAACTTATAAGTATATTTAGAGTACGCATTATAGGCAAAAATAAGGGTCTATAAATTATAGACCATATTATAGACAACTTTACTTGTCATTAAGTACAGAATTATTAATGTACTATTGTTTGATTTTAAATAAAATAAATAAAAACATATTTTTAATAAAATAATTTTATAACCAAAATAAGTTATCTGCTAAAATATGAATCCATGTTATAACCATTTTTTCGTATGTTTTTACAGCTTGTAATATAATATTGCAGTGTGAAATTGTTAATAAGTTATTTTACATCGTTTAGTGGACGACTCTTATGAAAATTAAAATATACAGAGTTGCAAAAATGTTAATGTAAAAAATAATGCAATCGTCATTTTTTTTTAATGGTAATGTAGTTTGAATGCATTAATCATTAAAAAAAAATTTTAATGAGAAATATTTTCATTACACAATAAAAATTTAATGAGTAATGTCGAACAATACATTACTCATTACAAAATTAAAAATGAGTTATAAGAAACCGTACATTACACATGTAAAATGTTGATGTCTATTATTTTTCGATATTTTTAAGTACCCATTAAAAATCCTTTTCTGGTAAAGTTAGATATTTTCTCTATTACTCGTTCAAAAGATAATAAATTTTCAAAACAATCGCGTTTTTTATTTTTTTGCTGCTAATTTCTTTAAAAATGGTCCGAATCGAAATTTTTATTTCTTAAAATTTTCGTGTATCAAAATTATCCAAAGCATTTTGCATGCGAATTTTGAGTTTTAAAATTTTAATTTTCAAACTGCTTTTTTACGTTTAACTTACCCACTCAAGAAATTTTAAGCCGGGGTTGATAATAATTGGGTGAGAAGGCGACCTAAACTCAAAAAAGGATTGAATCCGCGATGGTATACCATATATGAACGAATAATTAATTTTGAACGACTATTACTGGTAAAAAATTAATTTAAAAAAAATTTAAAAAATCTGTGTGTAAAAGGCATAAAGGGATAAGTGCTAACAAAAGGGTATACCCGCTAACCATAAATATATTTCCTGAATTAATGCGAATACGTTTAAGGCTCTACTGAAAAATTGCTTTTTTTGACTTATCCTCTTATGCCTTTTACCCACAGAAATACTAACTAACAATAAGTAGTTCGATTATCATTTATTCCTCATTAAAAATTAAAAAATGAGTAAAGTAAGTTTATTACATAAAAAATTGTAATTGAAAATTTCAAAATACTCATTACAAATTTAAAATGAGTAATGTAAAAAAGAATACATTACTCATTGGAAAAAATGTTCTAAGTAAAGTAATTTTTATTTTCAAAAAAGAAGTAATGCATATTATGCATTGCATAATAAAAATTAAACACATTACTCATTAATTTAATATTGTGTATTGTGTATCTCAGTGAGGAGGCACATTTCCCAAGTGTTTTGGGTTCAATCTTAATATTTTGAACTAAGGATTTTTATCAATTATAAATGAAACACCCTGTAGAATATATCATTATGAACAATTTATTTTGACAGATTTGACGTTTGCAAATACAATACATACGTTTTCCAAGGCATGTTTGACTTAAATTTCTTGCAATATTTTCACTTGACACAATTTGAGTCATACTATGCGACACATCATTTTTAGCCACCCTAGTGTCATTCTGTCCTCGGTGACTTAAAATTTGTTTATTACCATTCTGATTTATTAACCTTGAAATCCAATGATTAGCAATACAAAGATTGTGAGTATTAAATGTTTTGAAGTTAATTTGTCTGAAAAGATAAAAATAAAATAACAAGATTGTAGGCACTTTTCTAAAAAAAACTATTAATCTGTTTCTAAAAAACATGGAAATGCCAGTTTATCCAAACCAAAAATTATTAAAGTCTTTGGACCAGCTCATAGCTTTTTTTTAAAGCTGTGATTTAAAACCTTTAGACTATTTTTTGTGGATTCTATTTAAACTTTAAAGTATTGGAATTAAAGCAGACAAATAAAATACTTTTATTATTTATATATAATAATTATAATTATTATGAGTATTGTGTTTTTTAGTTTCAAAAGAAATTTGCCACGATTTAAGTGGATATGGACTAATGTATACATTAGAGCACAGTAGTATATATACTACTGTGTTCTAATGAAAGAGTAGATAAATACTTAGGAAGCTTTTCTGTTTCAGATCGAAGTTCCTCAAGAACGGTAAGTTGCTAGCTTAACGGTTTTTGTACGTAGCATAGAATTTGCGAACGTTCCTATCTATGACGTTCCAATCTATCGAGCCCACTCGAACGTTCATTGCATGCTGGGTGTATCAAAGAGAAGAGAGAAATTAAACAATCGATTGGAAGTTAGCTCCTCCGGACTGCGAAGACAATACCCGCAATCTCGAACTGGCTGTGCGGTGTGGCAGCGTGTGACCAATTCAATATCTGACTTGGCGAAACAGTCCGTGCGTGAAAACAATGATCCAACTATCTACAATTTTCTAGTCCCCCTTTTGCGTCTGTATTATTTCGTTCGTCTTTGCAAGAGGCTCTTCGGTTTGTTCGCTTCGCAAGGCATACGCAATTACAAGAAACAAAACTGTTTGTTCCGGGGCTTGCGAGATATAATTGCCGACCAAAGGAAGTTTACTACAGGGTGTTATGTAATTAATGTAATATTTTAAAATACTGAATACCTTTTGACATAAGGTTTAACAGAAAAATATTTAAAAAAATATTTTCCCAAAGATAAAAAAGTATCCATTAGAAGTTTTTTTATATTTTTGGTGATACGCCACTTGCGTTCTGTGAGTACATAGATACCAACCAACAGAGTAGCTGCCCTTTGCCAGTTGTAAAAAATTGTAACTAAAAATTTTTTCTTGCAAAAAATAAATTAAAACTCAATAAATACAAAAGTTCTAATAAATACCCTTCTGTATTTATTAAGGTACTCATCCAGCTATTAGCTTAAGCAATGATTAGAAAATTTAGTACCTAATTTAAAAACCCCATAACCACAAAATTAATTTTTTTATCGGTTTTATTTCTTCCTGTTTACTCAGATGAAATAAGGACAGATTCACAGGTTAAACTTTATACATTCAATTTGTTTAAATAAATCCAAAAGCACTTCCCTTAGTTAAGATATTTACAATTTGAGCACATAACCTAAAATTTTAAAGAAATGCACTAATTAATGGTAACTGCCATATTTTGTTTGGATTTACCTTCATTACAAGAATGACATAATCAACAATTAATAAAAACGCCACATTAACAGTTTTGGCTTTTTTTCAATTAAGCTAAATTTCTCTGAAAACTTTTTGACAGAATCTGGAAAAATTAAATTAGGCAACCAGATTAGCCCAAAGTTCCTAGTCGATCAGTGGTACTTTTTGGTAGGATAAAGGTTTTTATAAATTATTTTTAGTCTTAAGAATTTAGAGAAAAAAAGTTTCAGGTGCTTCTTTATGGACCCTAAGGAACTAGCCATTTTAATATATTACATAACACCCTGTATAGTTCGGTATATTTGTTGATTGCTATTTTGTTTGCTTTATTGACAATTTTGTCAATTTAATGGTGGTAGGTATCGATTTTTGTGTTATCGCGGTTATACTCGTTTCAACAATTCCATAGAATTGCATTTCCCAGAGAGCAATAATAAAATAAAACAATTTTGATATGAAAAAGGACCTTTATTTATTCTGCATATGACATAAAACTTGTTTTGTATTGAAGCATTTAATTTTATACATATAAAAAAATATGTTTATCAAGTAAAAAAATACCTGATAAAATCAACCAATACATAATAATTTTTTTACAATAAAAATATACCTACAATACAATAAAATAAATAAATATAAATTGAACAATAAAAAACAATAGATTTACCCAACCTTTAACAATAGGGCTTGTTTAATTAAATTTTAGTATCTTCTAAAGAAACTTTTATAATTTTATTACCTCAACTTTGTTCTACAAATATAAATGTAAACAATAAATTAAATAATTGGTAACAGAAAAAAACGTATTTTTCGTTTTTTTTTTTCAAAACCGCTATAATAATTCACAATACAGGGTCTTGCAACAGTGCGTCGAGCTTTTCTATCGCCTTTCCCGTGAGGGATAGAAAAAAAAGTTTTTTAGAAAGTATTGGTTTAAAAATCTTCATACCGTGAAATTATTTTCAACAATACAGGGTGTCATATTTTTGAGTTATAACAAAAACAAAAATGTTTTTCCAAGTTTTCCGATGATACTTGTCTATTTACTTTTTAATTATATGACGCGTCATGACGGCGTTGTCAACTAATTTTTTTCTTGCTTCAGTACGCTGAATTTTAAAAAATCGTAGCGAGGTCGCTTTTTGAAAGGAAATAATAAGTTTTATCAATAATCTTAGTGTGATTGAAGAGCAACATTTTGATAATGAGCAATTTAAATTAAGTAATACAGGTTG